ATGATAATGATAATAATAATATAATAATTGATAATAATAAAAGTAATCATAATATTATGAAGTATAATATTACAAATAACGATGATAGCACAGAAGAACAATAGTTCATTACAATGACGAAATATCTTTATTTCGTATAGGAATTAATCAAGAAAGTAGCTGAATAAATTTGGTCTTAATATCTCCTTTATCATAAGAATAATTTCTTTATTTTTCCTTCACATTCTTCGTCTTTGTAATCATAACTATGGAAGAAAAGAAATAATAAGAGTAGAAAAAGGGACAAGAGAAAGAAGATATTGATAAAATGACAAGTTTTTATGCTTTACAATATACATGTGAAATCGACACTAGATTGGATAGTCGATGTCTGTGGCTATAAAAATAACTCTTTTATGGGTGTGTATATGGGTGAGTGTGCGTGAGTTGACGCGTATATAATCCGAGTGTTAACGTGCGTACATATAAGCGTATACATGTGTCTGCGTCCGTACATGTAAGCGTATACATGTGTCTCTTCCCGTACATGTAAGCGTATACATGTGTCCCGTACATGTAAGCGTATACATGTGTCTTCGTAATGTAAGCGTATACATGTGTCTTGACCCGTACATGTCGTACATGTGTCTCGTCCGTACATGTAAGCGTATACATGTGTCTCGTCCGTACATGTAAGCGTATACATGTGTCTGCGTCCGTACATGTAAGCGTATACATATCTCTGCGTTCGTACATATAAGCGTATACATGTGTCTTCACCCGTACATGTAAGCGTATGTATGTGTCTGCGTCCGTACATGTAAGCGTATACATGTGTCTTCACCCGTACACATAAGCATACACACATCTCTGCGTCCATACATATAAGCGTATACATGTCTCCAAGCTCTATATAAGTACTCATGTAGACCTTGCATGTGTCTGCGTCCGTACATACATACGCACGTCTGCACACCATACCCGGCGCGTGGGGCGTGCTCGGGCAACCAGTGGCTCAATCATTGTTAATTGTCTGCGAATTGTTCCAGCGAACTCCTGTCCGTCCGAGTGGCAGCTGGTGGCGTAGAAACCTTGTGGTGATCTTGGGTATTTCGGGTCCGGTGGCGATTGGCTGTGGTGTGTGTGGGGGGGGGGTGGTGCGTGTGTGTGCGTGTGTTGTGTGTGTGTGTGTGGGTGTGTGTGAGTATGTGTGTGGGTGGGTGGGTGTGTTGTGTGTGAAGTGTTGTGTGTGTGGTGTGTGTGTGTGTGTGTGTGTGTGTGGTGTGTGTGTGTGTGGGTGTGTGTGTGGGTGTGTGTGGTGTGTGTGTGTGTGTGTGTGTGTGTGTGTGTGTGTGTGGTGGGTGGGTGGGTGGGTGTGTGTGTGTGTGTGTGTGTGTGTGTGTGTGTGTGTGTGTGTGTGTGTGTGGTGTGTGTGGTGTGTGTGTGTGTGTGTGTGTGTGTGTGTGTGTGTGTGTGTGTGGATGGATAGGCCGGTAGAGGCTGGGAAAACGCGCTTGCACGGTCGCGTGTGGAAACATAGACGAGCAGATTTAACTCCTTTTTTTCTCTCTCTCTCGCTCTTGTTCTCTCTCGCTTTTGCTCTCGCTCTTGCTCTCTTACGCTCTTACTCTAGTTCAATCTCTCTCTCTCTTCTCTCTCCTTCTCTCTCTCTCTCTCTCTCTCTCTCTCTCTCTCTCTCTCTCTCTCTCTCTCTCTCTCTCTCTCTCTCTCTCTCTCTCTCTCCCTCCCTCCCCTCTCTCTCTCTCTCTTCCTTTCTCTTTCGGTCGACATTCTTGTTCCTCTGCCTATTCTTTTTGAATTATTTGATATACACACACACATATGTATATCTGCATATATGTATACACACACACACACACACACACACATATATATACATATATATATATATATATATATATATATATATATATATATATATATATATATATATATATATATATATATATATATGTATGTATGTATATGTATATGCATACATATGTATATAGTTCAATCTCTCTCTCTCTCTCTCTCTCTCTCTCTCTCTCTCTCTCTCTCTCCTCTCTCTCTCTCTCTCTCTCTCTCTCTCTCTCTCTCTCTTCTCTCTCACTCTAGATTCATCCTAACCCTTCTCCTTTTTCTTCTTCATGAAGATTATCAACATTATGACACAATCATATTCTTGTCTCTAAAAGGAAAAAAAAATAGACTACTTTTCTTTATCGCTTCTGAAGCTATCTTGAAGAGGTTTCATAAAGCGTCTGCAGTTCGTTCATAAATTCCTTCGCGGAGCTTATACAACTACATCTTCCCCTCCCCCCCCCCCCCTCCTCCCCTCCTCCTGGCCCCACCTTGCACTCCCCTTCCTCTCTCTTGGCCTCCCCTTCCTCCCTCCCCACCCGTCCTTTCTCCTGGCCCCTCCCCCCCCCCTCCCCCCTTCCTCTCTCTTCCCTCCCTTCCTCTCCTTTCTCCTGGCCCCTCCCCTTCCCCCCTCCCCCTTCTCCTTCCTCTCTCCTGGCCCCTCCCCTTCCCCTTCCCCCTCCCCCTTCCTCTCTCCTGGCCCCTCCTCCCTGTCCTCCCATTTACTCCTAGCCCCTCCTCCTCTCCCCTGTGCCCCCCCCCTCTCACCCCCCCCCCCTTCTCCTCATTCATGGCAAAGTCACGTGTCCGAGCCACGCAGGCGTTACATATCACTTCGCTTCTTCTTCTTGTTCTTCTTTTCTTCGTCGTCATCATCATCATCTTTTTTTCTTTCTTCTTCTTCTTCGTCCTTTTCTTTTTCCTCTTCCTTTTTGCCTTCTTTCTTTATTTCTCTTCTTTCCTTTTTTCTTTCTTCCTTTATTTCTCTTCTTTCTTCTTTTTCTTCTTCTTCTTCGTCGTTCTCTACTACTACTGGTGCTTGTGATTTTTACCATTATCCGTACAATTAATATATTAACCGATGTTACTGTCTACCATCATCATTATCATTGGTATTATCGTTATTATCATCAATACTATCATTATCATCATTGTCATCATCGTTTTTTATTATCTTATTGTTATAATATTATCATTATCATTATAAGTATTATTGTTTTTGTTATCACTAATGTTATTATCATCCTCATTATCACTGTTATCATTATCATTATTATCATTATTGTTATTATTACTTTCATTATTGCTATCATTACTATTATTATTGCTATCATCATTACTATTATCATTATGATAACTATCATTACTAATTAATTAATGTTTATGATAATTAATGACATTAATGATTATAATACTTATAATAATGTCAGTGACAGTAATTATAACAATAATAACAACAGTTGTGGCGATAACGATAATAATAGAATTAGGATTTTCATATATTCATAATATGGTGCGCGCGCGCGTGTGTATCTGTGTGCGTGTGTGTGTGTGTGTTCATCTGCGTCTGTGTGTATCATTCTCTAGTTTTCTTATTTACACCCAAATGAGTGTACATGACTTCAAGTCCGCAGTCACATCGAATATAAATTCAGGCCAAAACATCTCATTTCACATTAACATAACCTTCAAGGACTAGAGTGACATGACTTTAGATATAATGTGCAAGTACATTGTCCTAATGACCTTGCCAACATGCGGTCGGTTAGTAAGTAGAAAAATGAAATAAAAAAACTGTTATTTATAACTATGACATACAACAACAGATAGAATATATTATTGTAATAAAACGAGCAAATAATAATAATAAAAAACAGATAACAATAACTGAAACCGAGATAGCAATAGATACCTGAAAAGGACCACTTATATATAGAGACCGTGGGAAGCTAACCTCGAATCTCACTGAACTGATGTTAGCGTAACGGACATACGTACGAACGGACGGACGGACTGACGGTCGGACACACAAGCAGACTGTTGATATGATGAACTACTACGATGAAATTGATGATAATGATAATGAAGATAATAATGATGTCAACAATGATTGTGACGATAATGATATTGTTATATTGTTAATAATAACTATAATGATGATAAAAAAATCAGTAGTGATAAACAATGATGTTAATAATAGACATGATAGTAATAATTATCATCATTATCATTACTATTATCATTATTATTAATATTATTGTTATTATTATTATCTTCATCATTAATATCAGCAGTATGATTATTGTCTTAATCATCATTTTCAATATTGTCATCACTTTCGCCATCAAAAATAGTAATGGTGATAATGATAATAGCATAAAAGAAATACAACAATAATAAAGATGATGATAACAATACGGACAGCAACAATATAAGAAAATGAAATTATGATAATAACAAAATACAGTTAAGAAAACCAGCAATGATAATGAGGAGGATAAAGATGATAAAAATCATGATGATAATGATAATAATAACAATAATGATTATAACATTATTAACAGTAATGGTGATGATGATAAAAACAATATTATTAATAAAAACAAGAGGAACACAGCAATATTTATAGTAATAATAATCTTATTAATAGTGCCAATAGTCATAACGATAGTGATAATAGTAACACTAATGATAATGATAATAAAAATGATGACTGACAAAATAATAATGATAATAACAACAGTATTACTAATGATAGTGTCAGTAATGATAACGATAATAATCCATGATAATAATAATATGCAGAACAATAAAAGTAAACATGTGAATAATAGCAGTGATAACTAAGCATAAATACACACACACACACACACACTCACACTCACACTCAAACACTCACTCACACACACACACAAAACCAAATAACCTAATAAATGAACAAACACACACAAATATATATATATAATATATATATATATATATATATATATATATATATATATATATATATATATATATATATATATATATATATATATATGGATGTATATGAATATTTACATACACATAAACACACAGCATACAGAACAAGAATACGCTGAAAGTAATGTAAGTGTGAGCGTGTATCAGCATCTTTCAGCGAGCGTGTCATAGCGCACATGGTGGGCATAGAACGGGCATCGCCACCACTCAAAATAATCTTGATGGTGACCTTCCTGCAGCTCTTGAGTGCGTGTGCTTGTTTACTTTGTTTGAGTGACTTGTTTCGTTCTGGGAGCATGCACGCAAAACAAACGAGGGAAGGAGTGAAGATCGCGAGAGCCTATAATCCGTGTTGTTTCTTTTCCTTTTTTTTTTTTCTTCTTCGTTGTTCGGTTTTCTTGGTGTTTTTCTTTTTTATCTTTGTGCCCTCCCTTTTTCTCTCTCTTTTTGTTTGTTTGTGTGGCTGTTTGTCTGTCTGCCAGTCTGTCTAATTCTCTCTCTGTCTCTCTCTGTCTCTCTCTCTCTGTCTCTCTCTCTCTCTCTCTCTCTCTCTCTCTCTCTCTCTCTCTCTCTCTCTCTCTTCTCTCTCTCTCTCTCTCTCTCTCCTCTCTCTCTCTCTCTCCTCTCTCTCTCTCTCTCTCTCTCTCTCTCTCTCTCTCTCTCTCTCTCTCTCTTTCTCTCTCTCTTCCTAGTTTTGTTCCTTCGTCTCATCCCCTATTGCCCCATCGTAAAGTAGGTCAGACTGCTTAAGTTAACCCTATATTCCTCGCTCCACTTAGGTGACCATGGTTCTTGCAAGAAGAGAGAGAGAGAGCAGAGAGGAGAGAGAGAGAGAGAGAGAGAGAGAGAGAGAGAGAGAGAGAGAGAGAGAGAGAGAGAGAGAGAGAGAGAGAGAAAGAACCGACAGAGAAGAGAGAGAGATAGACAAGGAGTCAGAGAGAGAAAGGAAAAGAGGGAAGGGAAAGGAGAGAGAGAGAGAGAGAGAGAGAGAGAGAGAGAGAGAGGAGAGACAGAGAGAGACAGAGAGAGAGAGACAGAGACAGAGACAGAACACACACCACCACACACACACACACACACAGACAGACAGACAGAGGACAAGAGAGAGAGACAGACAGAGCGAGAGAGAGAGCGAGAGAAATAAGAGATGTTGCAAGATAAGACTACATCATTAGATCATGCATTTTCTATATACACCCGATCCATTGCAAACCTACAACCAACACGCATCAAGCACCAATGACTCACAGGAAGCACACAAGGGAAGTCAAAAGCAATATTCATCTCGGAAAGTGATTCATCCGAGCGTCACCACAGCATCATCACAGCGCGCATCATCACAGCATCATCACACCACAGTGATCACCACAGCATCACCACAGCGCGTCATCACAGCATCATTACAGCCTCATCACAGCATCACCACAGCCTCATCTCAGCATCACCACAGCATCACCACAGCGCGTCATCACAGCATCATTACAGCATCACCACAACCTCATCACAGCATCACCACAGCGTCATCACAGCAATCAAGCATAATCACAGCGTCACCACAACATCATCACGCGTCATCACAGCATCACCACAGTGTCATCACAGCATCATCATCACAGCATCATCACAGCGTCACATCACAGCGTCATCACAGCATCACACAGCATCATTCACCAACAGCGTCTCACAGCATCACCACAGCGTCATCACAGCATCACCACAGCGTCACCACAACACCACCACAGCACCCACAGCATCACACAGCGCCGCACATCACAGCACAGCGTCATTCACAGCTCTCACAGCGTCACCACAGCATCACCACAGGCGTCATTCACAGGCATAACCCACAGCATCCCACACAGGCGTCATCACAGCATCACCACAGCGTCATCACAGCATCATCACAGCGTCACCACAGCGTCACCACAGCATCACAGCGTCACCAGCATCACCACAGCATCACCACAGCGTCACCACAGCGTCACCACAGCATCACCACAGCATCACGTCACCAAGCGTCACCACAGCATCACCCATCCCACACATCACCATGTCACCACAGCTCACCACATCCCACAGCGTCACCACAGCATCACCACAGCATCACCACAGCGTTCACCCACATCACCACAGCATCACCACAGCGTCACCACAGCGTCACCACAGGGCATGGGGCACGGAGACGCAGTACGCCATTTAACCTGACTTCCCTTTTGATTCACTCGCTTGCCCTTTTCTCTACCCTTATTCTCTTTCTTTGTTCCTTTTGCGTTCTCTGTCTCTTTGTTTATCTGTTTGTCTTTATCTATCTTATCTCTGTCTCTCTCTCTCTGCACTTCCATTTACCTGTACTTTTCATCTGCCTCTCTGCTTTTCTCTCTCTCTCACTCTCAGGCGGTGAGAGAAATGAATGGGGTGGGCGTGGAAAGAAGAGAGAGGAGAGAGAGAGAAGAGAGAGAGAGAGAGAGAGAGGAGAGAGAAGAGCACGAGAGAGAGAGAGGAGATGACTGAGTATGAGTAGAGAGAGATGAAAAGTTACTGGTACATGTCTCTCTCCTCTCTGCCCCCTCTCCCTCCCCTCTCCCTCCCCCCTCTCTCTCTCTCTCATCTCTCTTTCTCTTCTCTCTCTCTTCTCTTTTCTCTCTCTCATCTCCCGTTACGATCTCCGTCCGTCTCTCTCGTTCTTCTCATCTCTCCCTCCCCCCTCCCTCCCTCACCTCCCTCCCGTCGTCCTCCGCCTCCCCTCCTCCCTCCCTCCCCTCCCTCCCTCCCTCCCTCCCTCCCTCCCTCACCTCCTCCCGTCCTCCCTCCTCCTTCCCTTCCTCCCTCCCTCCCTCCCTGCCCTCCTCCCTCTCATCTCTCTCCTCCTCTCTCCTCCTTAACCACCGCCTCTCTCTCTCTCTCTCTCTCTCTCTGCTCTCCCTCTCTCTCTCTCTCTCTCTCTCTCTCTCTCCTCTCTCCCTCCTCTCTCCTCTCTCTCTCTCTCTCTCTCCTTCCCTCCCGTCCCTCTCTCCTCTCTCCTCTCCCCCTCCCTCTTCTCCTCCTCTCTCTCTCTCCTCTCTCTCTCTCTCTCTCTCTCTCTCTCTCTCCTCTCTCTCTCTCTCTCCTCTCTCTCTCTCTCTCTCTCTCTCCTCCTCCTCTCTCTCTCTCTCTCTCTTCTCCTCCCTCTCTCTCTCTCTCTCTTCTCTCTCCTTCCTCCCTCCCTATCTCTCCTCTCTCTCTTCTCTCAATCTCTCTCTCTCTCTCTCTCTCTCTCTCTCTCTCCTCTCTCTCTCTCCTCTTTCTTCCTCTTTCTCATTCTCTCTCTCTCCTCGCTCATCTCTCTTTCTCTCCTCTCCTCTCTCAATCTCTCTCTCAATTCCACTTCGCATAAATAAAATAGAGAGAGAGAAAATAGGAATAAGCACAATCACCAATAAAAAATCACTCAATATCTATAATCTCTTCTCTCTCGAGAAATCTTAATACATAAGAAATCAAGCACAATGCGCCAAGTTACAATTAATAATACTTCACTATCGTATCGTGATGAGAAAAACTCGCGATCTCATGCCTACAATCAACCACTCTATTATAAACTCATACATCGGAGAGTAGAAAAAATCAGGAATTAAAGCCACTCTCACCAAATTAAACACGATAGAGAGAGTACATACAAAAAGGAATAAGTCTCCACAATCACCAATAAAAAACATTCAGAACGACATGAGATCACAAAAAGGAATAAGCACAATCACCAATAAAAAATAGAGAGAGAGAAAAAAGGAATAAGCACAATCACCAATAAAAATAGAGAGAGAGAAAAAAGGAATAAGCCACAATCACCAATAAAAAATAGAGAGAGAGAAAAAAAAAGGAATAAGCACAATATCCACTCAATATGAAAATAGAGAGAAGAGAAAAAAAAAGTGAACTGAGCACAATCACCATTGAAATCATATATAGACGCACAAAATACAGATAAGCAAATCACGCAATAAAAATAGAGAGAGAGAAAAAGGAATAAGCACAATCACAATAAAAATGAGAAGACACGGAACGGAAATAGCAGAAATCACCCAATAAAAATGGAGAGAAAGAGAAAAAAAGGAATTAAGACAAGAGAGCAGAATGAAAAAGAATTATCAGCACAATCATTCGCCAATAAAGCAGAAGTAAACAAAAAGGGAAAACAAAGGAAGTACAAAGCATCGGTGGAATATTCGCAGCTGAATGAGTCTCTCATTGGTCTGTTCTGGACGTGGTAAGAAATAAGCAGGTTTTGGATCGTAAAATTGATAACAGGCGGGAGATGGGCCTGTTCCCTTCCTTCCCCCCCCCCTGCATCTCTGTCTCTCGCCTCTTCCTCTCTCCTTCTATCTCTCTCCTCGTCTCTTTCGCTCTTCTCGCCTCGGGCATCGCGGTCGCCTCGCGTCGCTGCTCTCGCGTGCGTCGCGTCTGCCTCTTCTTCTCCCCTCATCTCTCTTCTTCTCCTTCTTCTCATCTTCATCGTCCCCTCTCTCGGTCTTTCTCTTCGTTCTCTCATCATCTCTCTCTCTCTCATCTCTCTCTCTTCTTCTCTCCCTCGTCTTTCACCTCGTCTCTCTAGATCACTTGTGCATCTCCTGTCTCCTCCTGTCTGGTCTGTCTTCTGCTCGATCTCCTCTCTTCCTGTTCCTCTCTGCTGCACCCTCCTCTCGCTGCTCTCGTCCTCCTTTCTCTCCTCCGTCTCTCTCTTCTCATCTCCTCCCTTCTCTTGTAGATCACTTGGCTCCTCTGCTCTCTGTCTCTCTGTGTCTGTCTCTGGTCATGTCTGTCCTTCCCTGTTCTGGGTCTTGTTCTGTCTGTCTCGTCTCCCCTCGTCTCCTTCTCCTCGCTCAGCTCCTTCTCTCTCCTCATCCTCATCTCTCCTTCTACTCTCTCTCCGTCTCCTCTCTCTCCTCCTCCTCTTCTCTCTCTCTCTCTCTCTCGGCCTTCTCTTCCTCTAGTCTCCTCTCTTTCCTTCCTCTCTCTCTAGATCACTTGCTCTCTGGTCTCTCTGTCTGTCTGGTATGTTTCTGTCTGTCTGTCCTGTCTCTTTCTTCTCTCTTTTCTCTCTCCCTCTCGTCTCCCCTCTCTCTTCGTCCCTCTCTCTCTCTCTCTCCTCTGACCTCTCTCATCTCCTCGTTCTCTCTCCCCTCGTCGTCTTTCCTATTATATATCCTATAACATATATATATAGTATACTCATTAATATATATATTCGTGTGTGTGCTGTGTGTGTGGTGTGTGGTGTGCTGGTGTGTGTTGTGGTGATGTGGTGTGTGTGTGGTGTGTGTGTTGTGCTTGTGTGTGTGTGTGCTGTGTATGGTTTGTTTCGTGTGTGTTTTGTGTGTGATGTATGATACATACACATATAAGATACCATGTGTAATATATGTATGTGTGTGTGTGTGTGTGCATGTGGTGTTGTGTTGTTGTGGTGTGTGTGTGTGTGGCATTGTGTGGGTGTGCATCGTGTTGTGGGTGCGGTGTGTGTATGCATATGTGGTGGTATTAGTATTATCTCGTCGGGATTTACATATGGTGTGTGTGGGTGTACATACTGTGTAACTACAGACACACAAATCTTACACAAAATATAAGTAGCTCACAAGCAAACCATGAAGATATTGAAAACAGTGATTTTGAAGTCAAAGTGACTGCGACTCGAAAAGTAGAACGTCCCGCACTGGCCCTGAAGTGCGAAGGACAGGAGCATAAGTGAGCGCAGAAGGAGCGTACAAGCTCGGAGAAGCGAGGAGGAGGGAGGAGAAGGAGGTCGCGAGGGTAACTCCTTCATGAGGTCCGGGCTTGTGAGGCCCGAGCCCCCACGAGTACGAATCTGTTCAACGTGGCTTCGGCGCCCCTCGTAACTTCGTACCTGTACTCGTCAGCACTCTCAATCGCCAGTCTCTTCCTCGTCGTCGCCTCTTCTTTCTCTCTCAGACTTCTCTCTCTCCCTCCCTCCTCGCTCTCTCTCCTCCTCCCCTTATCTCGCGCCTCTCCGCCGTCTAGGGGCGTGAGATTAGAGGCCTCATCGTTCATGTATGTTGTCGGGACGCTCGTCCGTAGTCTCTCTCTCTCGCTGTCTCTGCTCTTACAGCGATCCTTCTCGGCCTGCCGATCTGCATGTGTCTTAGCCACTGGCGTGAGGTAGCGGTCGGGTTACGCTTCCGCCGCACTCCTCCGCTCACTCGTGTCCCCCTCGGCATCGGCCGCGCGTAATCAGGTCGCGTCGTTCGCTCAGCAGTCAGTCCTCGAGCCGTGCTGCATCACAGGTCCATCTCTTCCGCGCGTGCGTCCTCTCTTTTTCGTGTTTGCTGAAGATGACTCCGTCTTGCGGGTACGACGGCATGATGCATCGTGGTGCTTACTTGTGTGAAGATATAGCGATTTGCACCGAGGACGGTTAGTCATTTGTGATCGGCAGGGAAGTTCCTTAGTCGGAGGATACCGTCGTACGAGGTAGCATAGTGCGCCGCAGCGGCATGGGGTCTGGTTGTGCTTATTCTTATCTTTTACTGAAGGATTCTCTCATAGTGGTATTCGCGACGCGTGAGCTCTGCTGACGGCTGGTCGTGCTGCAGCGGGTATAAGTGCCGTGTCAGTGGCTCGTGTCATGTCGATGTGGCTATAGACCGGGATTTGTGTACGTCAATGAGCCGTCTCGTTCATCTCGAACCGTAATCCTGAGTAGGAGTACAGAAATGCCGTGAGAGGCTCGTCCTGATGTTCGTGGGTATTGTGCATTCATATTTCGCAGATAAACGATTCTGTGCGGTCACATCAGCTATGCTGGTGTTGTCGTGCCCCCGAGGGAATTTTTTTGTGTCCGCCATATTA